AAAAGCAATGAAGAAAGGGAAGTTTATAGCACTATATGCTTACATTAGAAATGAGAAAAGTCTCAAATCAATAATCAAGAAACCAGAAAAAGAAGAGCAAAATAAACCGAAAGCAAGCAAAAGGAAGGAAATGATAGAGCAAAAATCAAAAAAATTGCAAATACAGAAAAATCAATTAAATAGCTATTTCTTTGAAAATGATCAATAAAATCGATAAACTTCCATTAAAAAATAAAGAGAAGACATAAATTATTAATATCAGGAATGAAATAGAGGTTATCACTAAAGACTGTACAGAATACCATTACCCTAATGCCAACACCACACAAAGACAGTACAGAAAATGAACACTCTCAAATCATACTTGAACAAAATATTAGCAAATAATATCCAGCAATGTATTAAAAGGAATTATATACCACAATCAAATGGGATCTAGTCCAAGTATGTTCAACATTTCAAAAATCAATCAATATAATCCATATCATGGTGCTACAAGAAGAAAAATCATATGATCATATGAATTAACTAAATACAAACCATCTGACCCTACAATTGTACTCTTGGGCATTTATCCCAGAGAAATAAAAACATGCTCACACAAAAACCCTCACACAAAGGTTCACAGCAATTCCACTGTAATAGCCCATAACTGGACACAACCCAAATGTCCCTGAACCAGCGAATGGTTCAACAAACTGGCACAGCAATACCATAGACTACTACTCAGCAATGAAAAGGGACTACTGACTCATGTAACAACTTGGATGGATCTCCAAGGAGTTATGCTAAGTGAAGAAAGTCTTAAATAGTTACATACTGTAAAATTATATTTATACTACATTTTTGAAATGGAATTATAGAGATGGAGAACAGGTTAGTGGTTGCCAGGGGTTAGGGATTGGGGAAGAAGATGGTTGTCATTATACAGCGGCAGCATGAGGGAACCCTGTGGGGATGGAACAGTTCTGTATTTTGAACATACTCGTGCTTATACAAAGTTATAGGCCTGTATACACATGTAAACAAGTGCTTGTAAAACTGGTGAAATCTCAATAAACTCTGTGGATCACATCAATGTCAATTTCCTTGTTTCAAAAGTATACTACAGGGCAGCTAGTTGGCTCAGGTGGTTAGAGCGTGTGCTCTGAACAACAAGGTTGC